ATGATGGTAATGATACGTCCCAATGTCTCACAGATTTCCGGGATTTCCCAGATCTCCCAAAGATCGATGCCCTGGAAGTCCCGGAACGTATCCTGAGCCAGTCGTATCACCATCATGGGTACCGTCATAGGTACTGCTCTGGGGACGCGGAGATCCCCGCTGAGCTGCAGCGGCGCCTCCTCCAAGAGCTGCGCTCGCTGCCGTGGCCCAAGAAGCGGCACCGGGCCAAGGTCTTTGAAGAAGAGCAACCTGCATACAAACGCGACTTGACGGAGGGCCGCGCGCATTTCTTGGATCGACGCTTTGCCCCCTCCTCGGCGCGCGGAGCGCGCCGGGTGCGGCGCTGGAGGCGTCGCCTGGGGGTCCAGCGTCGACCCAAGAAATCCGCGCGGAGTTCCGAAGGTGGAAACGTATAGCTGTTCCGAGGCCCCTGGCGTCGCGATTTAGGGGGGCCACATGCGAACCCTACCCCTACCCCCCACGATTTCCGAGGGGGAGGGTGGGGTTCACTTTGCTGGGGAGCTCCCGAACGAAATGAACCCCACCCTCCCCCTCAGAAATCGTGGGGGGTAGGGGTAGGGTTCGCATGTGGTATCCAGACAACTTCCGACTGTCCGCGCGGATGTCTTGGATCTGCGCTGGGACCCCCTCCTTGGCGCGCGGAGCGCGCCAGGGGCGGCGCCGGAGGCGCCGCCGGCAGGGCCCAGCGCGGATCCAAGATACCCGCGCGGGGCGTCGAAAGTTTACGTTTATGGTAGGGGTAGGGTTCGCATGTGGCCCCCTATGACTGTCTCTTGGCGTGGAGCCCCCAAGATCTGGACGCCTGCCCGGGGGCCAGTTGTCCAACATGGGCAGTTCCCCACATCCCAAGTGGGGTTCTGGTTTTCTCTGCCCCCCCCGTGCAGGATTGCCTCCTCCCCCTTTTTGTTCCGCTTCATCAGCCGTCAGACACTCACCGCCTCCGATGACTCACACAATCACTCACACCCATCCTCCTCCTCCTGCTCCTCTTCCTCTTCCTCGATATATCGTCATCACAGCTCCTTGCTCAGGCACCTGCCTGGACGGGGCTTCACGGGCGCGCCTGCGCCCACCCGCGGCCCCCGCTCCTCCCTTCCCTGCGGCCCCCTCCCGCCCTCTGCCCGCCGGCTCCCATGGTGGTGGCTGCCCGGCTGCGCTGGGTGCGACGGCGCCTCGAGGCGAACGCGGATGTCAGGATCGTGATCGGCTCTGCTCAGCATGCGGCCCGCTCCAAGATCAAGATCCTCGTGGGCGAGGTGGCGCAGCCTTCGCATCTTCATAAGGTGATGCAGAGCGCCGTCCTGTCCGCCATCGAGGAACTCTGTTCTCTTCATCACGCCGTCGATCGAGGGCACCTGCACACGGACGGCACCAGCGAGATTGCGATCTGGGTCACTGCGCGGGATGGTGGTGTGCCTCGTGAGGGGGGGCACGGTCCGCCTGGCTATGGCGACCATCGTGGAAATGGGCACGGTCCTGGTGACGAAGATACTGGTGGTGGAGACGGTGATGCCCGTCGCCGCCGAGGGCCTGACCCTTGGCATGGGGGCGCAGATCCGTGGAGTTCCTGTGCATGGGGTTCGTTCCCCCCGAGCCCACCTGACGTCAAGAAGCCACGAACTCAGCAAGCAGATGGTAGTCTCCCTGGCGTTCCTCAGTTTCCCACGTTGGTGTACCCGTACAACACAGACGCTGCTGAGTTTGTTCCTGGTTCTGAGGTTATTCCTCCCGCTTCTGCACTTTCCTGTGATGAGCCCGTTCCTGGTGCTTCTGTGGGTGATGGCACAGGGGGTATCTGCCTCTTCGACGGTGCTCAAAGCGACGTGATTGATGATATGATGTATGACCACGGCGACAATACGGAGGCGATCTTCCCCGACGCTGCACAATGGGGTATGGTGCTCCATGAGCTTGGCGTCGCTGGGGGTGGTCATGCTGAGGAGTCTCCTGCTGAGCCTCTGGGTAATCCACCTGCTCAGGAAGATCTTCGTGTCGCGTCTGCCCTGATTGCGCAGACTATAAGCGAGCTTACGCTGATGTTTGGGGGCTCCCCGCCTGCTGGTTCGCCGCTTCCTGACGTGCGAGACCCTCGTGGTGCAGGACGGCCAGAAGTGCGTGGTCATGTCCGTCGGGAGATCTTCTTTCTTTCAGGCGATTCCACATTCCGTCCATATGACGGGCCGATCATTGGGAGTGATTGTGTGCAGTATGGCTGGCCCCTGGGTGATTTCATCAACAGGTTTTGCGTCATAGTGGAGGGCGAGTTCTTAGGCCGTGTTGGACTGATCCACGACGTGACGGAGAACGAGTTTATGATCAAGCTGCACTATGATGAGACGTTCATGGTTTTTCTTGCGCGTGCTGTTCATGAATGTCGCGATCCTTCGAGCACGAGGGTTTGGGAGGCCATGCTGCTGGAGAAGACTGTCAACGGCGAGCTCCCAGCTGGCTCTGCGAGTGTTTCCTAGAGGCGTTCTCTGGAGTTGGATGTGGGCTAGGGAGGGAGTGGCTTCGGTGGTCTGGCCCTTTTTACGGGTCGGCACGGCCAGGTGGGTGCCTCGTGTGGGCGCCCCTCGTGATGCTGCACACCTCCGCGTTCAGGACTCAGGGGAGGGTGCTTCGGTGGTCTGGTCCTTTTTGGGGCCGGCACGGCCAGGTGGGTGCCCTGTGGGGGTGCCCCTGGTGACGCCCCAAACCCTGGCGCATGGACGGACGGGGCTCGCTGCGGGCTCCGCGGGGAACAAAAAAAATCCTCGGTATATCGGAAAGAGCGTGTTCTACCGCTGCTGGCGGAAAACCGGGGGGGTCACTACCGGTTCGAACCCTTCCCCCCCCCCCCCCCCCTCCGGAAAAAGGGGGGGGGTCACTACGGTTCGAACCCCCTTCCCCCCCACCCCCCCCCTGCCCTCATCATGAAACGGGGGGGGTCACTACCGGTTCGAACCCCTCCCCCCCGCCCCCCCCCTCCGGATCCGGAAAACCGGGGGGGGTCACTACCGGTTCGAACCCCCCCCCTCGAAAAACCGAGTGGGGGCGGACAGTGTGCGGGACGGTGTGGGGGGACGTGGTGAGGGGATAGCGGGACAGTGGTGGGGAGGGACAGTGGACAGGGGGTGGGGACGGTAGTGGTGGGGACAGTGGTGGGGACAATGGTGGGAACAGGGGGGGACAGTGGACAGTGGTGGTGACGGTGGTGGCGGGGACAGCGGTGCGGGGACAATGGGAATGAGGTGGAAACAGTGGGACAGTGGAGGGTACAATGGTGGTGGGGACAGTGGTGGGAGAGTGGAACCGTGGTGGGAACAGTTCTGGGTACAGCGGGGACAGTGCGACAGTGGTGGGGCCACTGGTGGGGACAGTAGGGGCGGTGGTGGAACCAGCGGGGACAGCGGTGGTGAGGACAGTGGTGCTGGGAACACCAGTGGGGGATGTGATGCGGACGGTGGTGGGGACCGGGAGTCGTTTGCTGGCGGTGAGTAGGGGGGGGGGGGGGGGGGCGGGGGGGGGGGGGGGGGGGGGGGGGGGGGGGGGGGGGGGGGGCGGGGGGGGGGGGGGAAGGAGGGGGAAGGAGGGGGGGGGCGGGGGGGAAGGGGGGGGGGGGGGGGGGGGGAGGGGGGGGGGGGGTTCGAACCGGTAGTGACCCCCCCCCGTTTTTCCGGATCCTTCGGGGGGGGGGGGCCGGGTGGAGGGGTTCGAACCGGTAGTGACCCCCCCCCGGGAGGGGGGGGGGGGGGAGGGGTTAGGGGGGGGGGGGGGTTTGCCGGGGAGGGGGGGGGGGGGAGGGTTCCAGCAGGGGGGGGGGGGGGGGGATTTTCGGAGGGGGGGGGGGGGGGCGACCCCCGGGCTCCAGAGGAAAAGGTTGGCAATTTTCCACAGTAAAGCGACGGTGGATCACGCTCTCTCGTATATCGTCATCATCATCATCATCATCATCATCATCATCATGATCATCATTATCACCACAATCATCATCAACAACATCATCAACAACAACATCAACATCACCATCATCATCACCATTGTCAACATCATCGTCACCATACACATCACCATACTCGTCATCAACGCTCACACGCTCACAAGGCGATGACTCACTCACTCAATCATTCGCCCACCATCCTCATCATCAGCCGCATCATCACCCCGAGCCTCCTCCTCGCCTTCCTCCTCACCTCCCTCTTCATCCTTACCATCAGCATCACCAGTGCCATCATCATCACCGCCATTACCACGATCATCGTAATCATCAGCATCACCATCGTCAACATCACTATCAACATGAACACCTGCATCTGCATCTTTGGCATGACGATTGGCAGCAACAGCCTTATCACTAGCATCATCGTCACCAACGTCATCACCATCACCACCACCACAATCATCACCATCATCATCATTATCAACATCAGCAGCATCATCATCATCAGCATCATCATGACCCGCTGCTGCAAGAGAGTTTCGAGCAAGTCTTCAGAATAATTTTCCTCCCTATGTGGCCCGCACCTTGTCTTACTAATCCGAGGCGGCCATCGGGAAACCCAATACAAACACACATGTTTGATGACACCCCGGGGGCCTGAATCCCGGGGAAGTCTCGAGCAGGAGCTTGGTCTCGGGTGAATTGTGCGGTGGTCTCGATAGGGAGCCTGTGCCTGTGGGCCCGCACCGCATGTTCTAATCCGAGGCGACCGTCGGCAAGCCTTTTTCACATATATATATACATTATATATATATATATGTTTAGGTTTGATAGCACCTGGGAGCCCGAATCCCGAGGAAGTCTCGAGCGGGAGGCCCCTCCCTATAGGGGGCCTGCGCATCGGGCTGGCAGTCCGAGGCGGCCACCGGCAAACCTCGGGAGGGGAACAAGCACACAGGCACAATGAATCGTCGATTCCCCGGGAGATATGGGGACATTTGGGAAAACATGGGAAGTGAGGGGGAAGACGAACACCCATAACATATTGGAAAGTACGGAGAATCCTGTTAGTTGTGTGTATTTGTGTGTGTGTGTGTGTGTGTGTGTGTGTCCTGGGGCCCCTTCAAAACCTTGTAAACATGCAGGTGTGGTGACGACTGGGAGCCTGAATCCCGAGGGAATCTCGAGCGGGAGCCTCGCCTGCGCGTGGATACGGGAGGAGATCGCCGAGCGGGAGCCTTCTCCCTTTGGCGCCCGCGTTCTTGCCACGTATCGGAGCCGGCCAGCGGCGCAAACCGAGCAACACATAGATTTAAGTCGGGCCATTCCCTCTACAGGGGGAAGATTCAAAACTAGTCAAAAGATATTGTATGGATTATTGTTTGTATATGTTTGGGCATCTTTTGAATATTTTTGGAGTATTTTTCAGTTTTTCGTCCAGAATCCCCCTGTAGGGGGACACGCCCGACTTAAACATAGATTTGGTGACGACTGGGAGCCTGAATCCCGAGGAGGTCTCGAGCGGGAGCCTCGTCTGTGAGTGGATCGCGGGGAGGTCCCGAGCGGGAGTAGTCCTCTCCCCACGAGGCCCGCACCTCGCGGCATGTGTCCGAAGCGGTCATCGGCAAAACCTGTTCATCGCAGGTTCGGTGACAGCTGGGAGCCTGATTCCCGAGGAGGTCTCGAGCCGGAGCCTCGTCTGTGAGTGGATTTCGAAGAAGGCTCGAGCGAGAGCCCTTCCCTAGGGGGTGCTTGCCTCCACGTTTGAGTCCCAGCGGGTCATCGGAAGCTTGAGATCGTCGTCACTTTTGGGTTTAGTAGGCCTGAATATGGAGGAAGTTTTGAGCGGGAATTTCGTTTGCGAGCAAATCGCGAGGAGGTCCCGAGCGGGAGTCTTCGGAACGGTTCAGACGGCCACGGCGCCCATCCAGAAAGTTTGAGAAGACCCAGGGCCCAAGAAACGCCAGAAGACCTAGGAGGCCCCGGAGCAAGCCCCAGGCATTATGATGCCCAGGAGCCCCCCACGAGTTATGATGTTCCAACCTGTTTTAGCCTTGATCACGAACAAGAACTTCGAGCACCAAACAGATTACCGATACTCCATGGTTTTCATGTGTTGGGCCCTGGGAGACACTCGTCCGACACTGTTTCGACACTTTCCTTGGAGCTCGAACTTATTTCTGGGATGTGGTCCTTAGAGTACGACGGGAGCAACATAACCCACGAGGCCACAGGAGGACCCGGAGGTCCCAGGAGAGCCCCGGGGCCCCAGAGGCACCAGCAAGCTCATGGGAGGCCCCGGGAGGCTCCCAGGAGGCAACCGCAGATCCCTGAAGGCCCCCGGGAGGAGGCACCAGGCCCAGGAGGAGGAGGAGGAGACATGACGAGGAGGAGAAGGAGGAGGCGCAGGAGGAGGAGGAGGAGGAGGAGGAGGAGGAGGAGGAAGAAAAGGACACGGAGGAGGAAGAAAAGGACAAGGAGGAGGAGGAGGAGGAGGAGGAGGAGGAGGAGGGGAGGAGGAGGAGGAGGAGGAGGACCCAGGGACGCCCCAGAAGGCTACAAGGCTCCAGGAGCTTCCAGGAGGTAGCGGGATGCCCCAAGATGCCCCAGGAGAAGGCAGGAGGCCCATGGAGGAGGCAGAAGGGGGCAGGAGGAGGCACGACAAGGAGGAGGCGGAGGAGGAGGAGGAGGAGGCAGGACCAGGAGCATTGAGGGAAGGAGGAGGAGGAGGAGGAGGAGGCAGGACAAGGAGCATTGAGGAAAGGAGGAGGAGGAGGAGGAGGAGGAAGCAGCCCAAGGAGGAGGCAGGACAAGGAGGAGGAGGAGGCGGAGGAGGAGGAGGAGGTAGAGGAAGATGGGGAGGTATCAGGAGGAGGCAGAAGGTGGAGGAGCAGGAGGAGGAGGAGGAGGAGGAGGAGGAGGAGGAGGAGGAGGTGTGCCTCAGGAGGCCCCAGGAGGCCGCAAGAGGAGGCAGGATGTCCAAGGGAGAGGCAGGAGGAGGCAGGAAGGGGAGGAGGCAGGATGAAGAGATGGAGGGAGAGGATGCAGGAAATGGAGGACGAGAAGAATGAGGAGGATGAGGATGAAGAGAATGAGGAGGAGGAGGAGGAGGAGGAGGAGGAGGAGGAGGAGAAGAATGCAGCCCAAGGAGGAGAAGCATGAGGCAGGAGGCAGAAGAAGGAGGAAGAGGCAGAAAGAGGAAGGGCAGGATAGTGAGCCAGGAGCTGCAGGCAGAGGGAGGAAGAAGGAGGAGACGGGAGGGGGTAAGGAGGTGGGAGCAGGAGGGGATCCCCGGCCAAGCTACAAGTATCCTCATGCCCGGTCCTGCCGTCGGAGTATCTCGTTGACGGTCCCGAGGCGTGGCTTCCAGAGACCGAAGATAGGGAGTAAGCTGAATCAGTGTTTCCCCACATCCCAAGTGGGTATCTGATTCTCACATCGAAAGTCGGGCATCTTGTTTTTTGTATGGAACCCCCTCCGCAGGAGATCTCACCCCCTCTTTCTCTCCTCCTCCTCCTCATCATCATCGTAATCATATCACCATTCTCATCACCAAATAACATCATCATCATCATCATCATCATCGTCATCAGCATCATCCTCATCATCATCATCAGCATCATCATCATCATCATCATCATCATCATCATCACCATGATCATCATCATACTCATCACCGTCACCGTCACCATCACTATCATCGTCGTCATCCTGACCCCCATAGTGGAGTTATTGTTTTCTCTGACCTCCCCCCCGCGCAGGAACCCTCACCCACCGCCCCTCTCGTCCTCTCATTACCATCACACAACCACCATCATTAGCATCATCACTCGCCCACTCACTCACTCACCCACTCTCTCACCCAACCAACCAACGAACCACCCACCCATCCCACCCACTCACTCACTCAGTCACTCACTCACGCGCCACCACACCATGATCAGCATCATCATGTTCTTCTTCGCCATTACCATAACACACGCATCGACGCACTCACTCACACCCTCACACACACACTCAGTCATCATCAGCATACATCATGATCATCATCATCAGTATCATCATGATCATCCTCATCAGCATCATCATCAGCATCATCATCATCATCATCACTCAGCACCGCTGTCACACCATACTCATCACTATCATCATTTCAGAATGGCCATCGGCCATTATCATTACATGCACACTCCCTCACGCACTCACAAAGTCAGCTCGAGGACCTCGATCGGGGGCCTCGTTTGTGGCTGGATCGCGAGGAATTCTCGAGCGGGAGCCCCTCTCGATGGGCTCCCCGCCTCCATGTTCGAATCCGAGCGGGTCATGTGAAACTTGTGATTGTTGTCGCTTCTGGGCTTCTCGGGCTTGCATCTGGAGGGAATCTTGAGCGGTGGCGCAGGTCTCGAGCGGGAGACCCTCCCTATGGGGTCCCCATGTCAATCAGACCCGGTCATCCGAAGCCAGTAGCTGTCGTCAATGTTCGGCTCCTCGTGATGGAATGTGGAGGGAGTCTCTAGCGTGGGCGTCGCCCCTTGAATGGGTCGCGAGGGAGTCTCAAGCGGGAGCTTCTCTCTATAGGGCCCCCACCTCCATGTTGGAATCCGAGCGGGTCCTCTGGAACTTCTAGGTCTCGTCTTTTTCTGTGGGTTCTTCAGTCCTTCGTGTTGAGAGTGTCTTTAGCGGGGGCATCGAAAGCGAGTGAATAGCGCGGGCGTCTCTCCATGGGGCCCCCACCTCCCTCCATGTTCGAATGCGAGCGCGTCATCTGAAACTTGTAGCAGCCCTCACTTTGGGGCTTCTCAGGCTTGAATCTAGACCAGGTCTCGAGCGGGGGCGTCGTCTATGAGGGAATCGCGAGGAAGTCTCATGCGTGAGCCCCTCTCTATGGGATCCCTACCTTCTTCCATGTTCGAATCCGTTTGGGTCATCTGGAACTCGGAACCCACGTCAGTTCTGGTCACTTCAGTCTTATCTTCAGGAAACCTCGAGGGGGGGCCTCGTCTGTGAGTGAAACGCGAGGAAGTCTCGGGCTGGAGCCCCTCCACGCTGTCGCACGGACAAACGCTGCGCAAGGGCGTCACCATCGATTGCAGGGCTTGTTTCGATTCCTCCGGTTCGATTCGATTCGACTTCGATGGCTTCTGATTCCGACTCGATTCGGCTTGGGATTCCGATTTGGGCTGCGAGTTCTGAGTGGAGGCGTACTAGCCTGCCGATGTCCGCCGATTCGACTTTGCCCGGGTCGGCTGCCGATTTTCGTCGATCCGATTCATGTCGATCGCCGATCCGGCTTGTGGATTCGATTCTTGGCGCTCCTGCCTCTGCGCTAAGGATGAGGGCGCTGGCCGCACGGGCATGTCGGACGAGCAGTGGTGGCTGCACTTTGATGAGTACTTTATGCAATATGTTTTCCGCGCTGCGCGTACGCGGAGCATGCTGGTCTTGCGGCCGCCCCGCGAGTTTCTGGAACGCGAGCCGCCGGCGTCTCTGCGGAAGGCGTTCGGGGAGTTCGACAAGGGGGCTGCGAACTCCATGGCTGACGCGGAGGAGCTCACGTCAGAGCTAGGCTGCGCGGTGCCTCCCGCCTGATGGCGGCGGCGCCCAGCCCGACGGCTTGCTCCCGCGCCCTGGCGGCCCACGGGGTTGTGCCAACGGCCTGGCTCGCGGGGTTGCCCCAGCGGTCTCGCGATCCAGCCGTCGGAGGACGCGTCCATGCTGGCCGCTGCGGCGAGGAAAATCGACGCGCGTGCCCCGGCCAGAAGGACGGAAAGGTGCGCGAGGAAAACAGGCGGGATGGAGAAAAAAAGGAGGATGTGGAAAAAGACGAGGAAGAGGATGAAAACGACGAGGCGGACGACGACGAGGAGGGTGATTCAGGAGGATGAGGCAGGGTGAGACAGAATGTGAAAGAGAAGGCAGGATGGGGGTAGGAGGAAGGAGCGGGAGGGTACCCCCAACCAGTATGAACATATACCATGTGGGGTTTTACCGTCGGAGTAGTTTTCTCTGGACGCCCAACGCAGGAGTGCGAACCCCCACAGACACACCGTGAACTTGTTTGCCACCATCAACATCGTGGTCGTTCATCATTTCTTTCATCTTCCCTTCTCTTCACACCCACCATCGCGACCACCATTGCCACCTTCGCACACTAATTGGTACATTTTCCGGATCACTCACACAAACACACTTAGCTTCATCACCATTGCCGTCCTCATTTCCACCACCACCAACATTTTCCATCAGCATTACTCAACGCCACCCGCATCACCACCACCATAAGATCGCGACCGCCCGCAATCATCATCATCATTACCGAACGCCCTCCATCCACACATTCGCACACGCACGTCGGGGAAGCTTCAAGCGGGAACCTTGTTTGTTAGCGAATGGCGACGGTTTCACGTGTTGGACCCCCTCCCTATGTGGTCCCCGCCCCCATGTTCGAAGGCAAAGCGGCCATCGGACCATTATGTAAAACAAACAGATATGATGCCACTCTTGGGGCCTGAGCCCCGAGGGTGTTTCGAGCGGGAACATCGCTCTTGAGCAACATGCAGAGAACAACAAAAATATCGGGCGCCAGGAAGTCTCGCGCGGGATCCCTTGCCACGGGGTGTCAGCGCCCATAGTCGAGTCCGAGGCGGCCATCGGGAAACCAACACACAACACACAGGTTTGTTGATACATTGAGAGGCCTGCATCTTCAGGAAGTCTCGAGTGGAAGCCTCGCTCCTGAGCAAAAATGAGGGGGCGCTCGTGTGTGAGTGAACCGCGGGGAGCCTCGAGCGGGAACCCTTTTTTCCGATGGGGTCCCGCACTTCCGTTGTTCGAAACCGAGGCGACCATCGGGAAACTTTTTCTGCAAGCGTTTCTACGGTGGCAGCCGTGGGCGTCCCGCGTGATGGAGATCCGCTCCTGATCGGGAGCCTGGGTCTGTGAGTGAGAAGCGGCAGGGCGTCTCAAGTGGGAGCCACTTCTCCGGGTCGGGAGCCCATCCAATCAGGAGTTCCCTGCCTCCGTGTCGGGGTCCTTCCCGGCTCCCCCTCTTAAGCGGGAGTTCCTTCCCTACGGGGTCCCCACCTCCAACTTGGTAATCCGAGGCGGCCATCGAGTTAGCTGGAAGCCTGAATCTCTAGACCTCCTATAGATGGGGTCGGGATAGATGGGGTCGGAGGATCGCGCCGCATCGCCGATGCATCGCCGATGTATCGTCGACGCGCGGCGATCCTCCGACCCCATCTATTCCGACACCATCCAGGAGGCCTCCTGGAACCCCAGGGATGCTCAAGCGGGGCCCTCGTTCCCGTTGAGAGGATGCCTCTGGCGCTCGCCTGTCAGTGCACTGCGGGGAAGTATTCAAGCCGGAAGCCCTCCCTGTGGGCCCCCCGCTTCACGTTCTTAATATGAGGCGGCCGTCGGGAGTCCCGGTAAAAGCACAGGCTTGGTGACACCTGGGGGTCTGAATCTTGAAGGAGACTCGAGCAGGAGCTTTGTTCCTTCGTCGAGCGCCCTTTGCAATCCGGGGCGGCCATCCTCAATCAAGCTGGTAAGCATCGGCAAGCACCAGCAGATACCAGACAGGAATATAGCCTTCGTAGCCACAAGGATGACGATGTGATGACCTCCAGATCAGTTTGGAGGATTCTCATGTGGCGTCCTTCAGTCGTCGGATGATTGCTTCTTCCTCCTTCTTCTTCTCACTGCACGCGCTGTTCTTCTCTTCAGGCCGTCGTCGCGGAGCGCTACCTCGTGATCTGGCGGGACCCCGGCCCCCGCCCGGGCCACGAGCAGCTCTTCGAGCTCTTGCTGGAGCTCGCGGCCCTCGCCGCCGGCGACCCCTGGACCCACGTCGCCGTGACCAATGCTGGCAACGGCGCGCGGCCTGCTTGCAGGGCCGCTGCTCGTGGCTCTGGGCCTCGGATGACCGTCACGAGCGGCTCGGGAGGAGAGGTCGATTCGAGTGGGGGATCGACTGCAAACTGATTCACTCCCAAGTTGATGGATTCGTCGAACTTGTTCAAAATACGTAGAATGTTTGCCGATCTACGGAATACCCTCCTTGCAATTTCTATAGACTCGACGAGCAAATCAAGTTTTGGGTACATCGATCGTGTAGTTAATCCCCTACTCGAGAGACCGGCCCTGGGAAAGGGTCGGGTCGGACGCACGCCTCCAAGGAGGACATTTGGTATTAGTACGCCGCTGTGCGTCCCATTCGTCTGTCTGCGAGTGGCCATCTGGCCTCTGGGGCCTCGCATCGCGGGCTGGGCCTCTGGGCCGCGACCCCGCGGATACGGGGCGTTTTTTCAGGATGCCCCGCCCGGCACGTACCCGTGCGACCGCGTATCCGCGGGATCGCGCCCCGGAGTCCAGACCGCGAGGCCGCGGACACGGATATTCAAGGCCTCCTAGATGGGGTCCGAGTAGATGGGGTCGGAGGATCGCGCCGCATCGCCGATTCATCGGCGATGCGGCTCGTTACGGAGCCCGACTTTCTTCACCCAGACGTCGCCGATGCATCGCCGGTGCATCGCCGGTGCATCGCCGATGCATCGCAGATGCATCGCCGATGTATTGGCGACGCGGCGCGAGCCACTCGGACCCCATCGAAGAGGCCTCGAGACATGGTCGCCGTGCGTCGCGGTCTGCGAGGGGCCGCCCTTTGCGAGCGTGGCGGCCCGCGGTCGCCGGGCCGAGAGCTCTCCGGGGCAGCCCACGCCAGGACGAGCAGGGCGGGGGTCGACCCAAACGGTGCTTGGGCGACTTCGTGGGCCGTGTTCGGTGGGACCTCTCGCTGTGCGGCAGAGGCGGGTTTCAGGAGGGAAAGAAACACACAGACACAATGAATCGTCCATTCCCCAGAAAATATGGGAAAATATGGGAAGTGGGGGGAAGACAAAAACCCAGAAAATATGGGAAAATATGGGGAATCTTTTTATTTGTGTGTATTTATTTGTGTGTCCCAGGGCCCCTTCAGGGTTGAGGGCAGAGCGAGGGGAGGCGAAGACGAAGCGAGGACGAGAGGCACAGCTTCGGTCGAGCCCTCGTCTGTCTTCGAGCGGCCGCCCCTGCAAGCGTGGCGGCCCGCGGTCGCTGGGCCGAGAATTTTCAGGGCAGCCCCCACCGGGACGAGCAGGACGCCACCTGGCCTGGCGGCGCGCAAAAGGGGGGGGCAGCGCAACGGGGGGCGGCCGCTCTCGGAGGGGCCAGAGAGCCTCCGAGAGGGCAGGTGGATTCTCAGAGGCCCCTCCAGGCAATACATGCCCATGCCTCGGGCTTTTCTTCGCTTTCTCCCTTCCTGGGGCCTGCGGGGAGGCCCTCGTCGCCAGCGCGGGCTTCGCCCCGAGAGCCTGGTCTGAGCGCACCCCGGAAGAGAGAGAGACCCGGGCAGCGCGGACGGTCGTGCTGTGGGGGCGGTTGGCCCGGTCGCCCCCCCCCTTGCCTGCTGTGGTTCTGCACGGACGAAATGGGCACGGAAAGAGTGGGTACAATGCGCAACAGCAGATCTGGTTCGTTTTGAACAGCACTCGCTGTCCACGCCGCCGCGGCCTGTGCCCCTTCGAGCCAGAAGGCCGCCTGCCCCACAGCGGCCGCTGTCGGTTTGGGACGACGTTTGTTGTCGGGCACTGTACCCATTCTTTCCGTACCCATCTCGGGCGTCCAAATTTACCGCGTCGGGCTTATGTTCTAAGAACATTGTTTTTGTTATTCGGCATGCTTGGGTTCTGCGAAGATTTCGCGGTGGGCCTACAGGTGTGCCGTGTTGTTGTGCATTGTACCCATTCTTTCCGTACCCCTTCCGGGCTTCCAAGCGGACGCCCCCCCCCCCCCGCCATGCTGTGGTGAGAGCACCCGGCGAGTGGTGCGCGCGGGGGGCGCGGCGTGTGCACCCCATGGCGGGTGCACGCGCCGCGGCCGCCGTTGCTCTTGACCCTCTCGCCCTTTTAGTGGGCCCCGGAGACGACAGGACCTTTTGTTCTACCGGTGCCGCTTTGCCGTTTTTTTCTGGTTGCCGGTTCCGACGCAGTTTTTTTGTTTGCCGGTTCCCTCGCCGTTTTTGTCACGGGTTCCCGTTCCGGCTCCAGTCCTGGAGCCGTTTTTGTTGCCGTTTCCGGTCGCCGCTTTTTTGCCGTTTCCATTTTCAAGGGACATTTTTTCGGAAACGGTGAAAAAACGGCCTTGCCTTTTCCGGGGCCCACTAAGCTCCCGCCCGACCCCCCCTCGGTAACGACAATTACCCGGGAAAGAAAGAACGGTCACAGAGGGTCTTCCAAGCTGCCAGGGAGATGCTCAGAAGCCCCTCCTGCTTCGAAGAGGCCTCGATAGAAGCTTCCAGGCATGGCCTTGCTGTCAGGGTCGGCGCTAGAGCGGGGTAGGCTCAGGGAGGAAACGCATCTACCCTCAGTCGCCCAGTGATCGCCGATAGGGGGCCTGATAGCCCACCCCTCCCAAGAACGTGTGGGCTCGAAATTGGGGGCCCATCGCCGATCTACCGGCCATGAATGGTCGAGGGTTTGGGCCCCCCCCCAATGCTAATGCCATCGGGCCCCCCACCCTTTGCGCGATGCCCCCCCCCTTGTGGGCGTGGGCGTGGCGTGGTGGCTCCCCCCCCCTGTGGATGTGGTGTGGGTGTGGTGTGTTGCTGTGGGTGTGTGCGGAGTGACGCCATGGTCCTCCTCCCCCCCTCCCTCCCGCCCTGTGGGTGCGGTGTGGGTGCGGCGTGTGGCTGGGATTGGCATCATGTTGACAGCTCTGGTGCTCGACGTCGCCGCCGCCGCCGCTTGTGGTGCCGTCGACATCGTCGTCGTTGTCGTCGTCGTCGTCGTCGTCATCATCGCCGTCGTCGTCCTCCTCCTCCTCCTTCTACTCCTCCTCCTCCTCCTCCTCCTCCTCCTCCTCCTCCTCCCCTCCCCCCCTCCCATCTGGGGGGGGGGGCCGAGGACCCTGGGACCCATCCCATCTTGGGGGGGGGCGGCGGCCCGTGGGCCCGGAGCCCGCGATCATGTATCGCCGATTCCAGCTCGATGTTGTCGCCCCCTGAGCCAGTCCCATGCTAACGATCCCCGTGAACGTAAGACGGCGCTTTCCTTCTAAGGATCCCCCCGCCTTCTCAGAAGGCATCCCACTCGAGCCACCCTCTAGTGCGCGCCGCCAGCTGGCAGCGGGTGATCAGCCTGGGGGACTTCGTGGGCGGGGAGCTGTGCGTGGAGGGCCCCCTCGAGGGCCACGACGGCCCCCTGCGCAGGCTGTACGTGGTCAGCACGAGGTCCAGCGCCAAGCTCTATCCATATCCACCGCCTCGGAGTCCGTGCCCTGGGAACTCCGATCTCCAACGAGATAAACAAAGCAGTACAAAGCTTGTTCGTAGTTTTCGGCCCCTGGGGCCCTCGCTGGGCCCCAGGGCCGTTAAAGAGACGACTCAGGATACAGAGTTGGCCCTGGGGAAAGCGTAGGGATTCTCGGTGAATGGAAGAAGCAGAACGTATGATATGTTGCATCCTTTCGGGGAGCGATGGATGTTGATGTCTGCCCGCGGTTGCAGGAAAGGATCCATACACACCGCTCCCAGAGGGGTCCAGGACAGGCTGTGGACGTGGATGTTTCCTGGCGGTGCATCCGAGGAACCGCCTGACCCGGGTCGACGGGCGGTTCCCGCACTTCGTGCGGCAGAGAGAGGGGGATCTCATGGGCGAGGGAGAGACAACCACAACCGCTGGGCTGAGGGAGTCGCCCTGGCGCCCCCTCCCAGGCCAATGCCGACCCCGCAGCGGTGACGACCTGCGCGCGGCACTCGCGTTCCGGCGCCGCGCGGAGGTCGTCATCGCTGGGAGGGGGGGTCGGGGCCGGCCCTGGGAGGGGGGGCCAGGGGCCGTGGCATCGCTCGGACGTGTGCTTTTTTCCTTCGGCGAGGACCATCGAGGAGCATCCTTGATCATTTGGTGAAAAAACCACGCACGAAACCAAAAAAACAGGGAATAGACGTCCGAGCGATGGCAGGGGGGCGGTCCCCTCAGCACAGCGCCTGCGATTGTCCCCTTCCTCGCTCCCGAGGATCGGTTCTCGCTGGTGTACTACTGCCTCGACGCCGGGGAGTTTCGCGAGCCGACGCGGCCGCTGGAGCTGCCGGGCGACGCAGCTGCCGGGCCAGACTGAGTGCTCGCGGTCGGGTCGGGCGCAGCTTGCGGTGCCGTCGGTCAGGCAGTGGCGAAGCGTCCTAGCTCGCCTAAGAGTGCTCTAAGCACCTTTTGTGGTCTGCGCGAGATGTTCTTAGACCATTTCTTTCTGGGGCTGTCCTGCTTCAATCTGCACGAGCGAGCTGGGCACGGAAAGAGTGGGTACAATGCTCAACAGAAGTTCCTGTTCATTTTGGACAGGACTCGCTGTCCGCGCCGCCGCGGCCTGTGTCCATTTGAGACAGAAGGCCGCCTGCCCAACAGCGGCCGCTGTTGGTTAGGGGCAACATTTGTTGTTGGGCATTGTACCGATTCTTTCCGTACCCATTTCGGGCGTCCAAATTTAACGCGTCGGGCTTATGTTCTAAGAACATTGTTTTTGTTATTCAGCACGTTTGGGTTCTGCGAAGATTCCGCGGTGGGCCTATAGGTGTGCTGGGACGGCCTTCCCGCTCAAGTCGGGGCTCTCCGCCCGCGTGGCTCGCGGGCTGCTGGGCGTGAGCGGCCGCGGCCAGACGACCGCGGTTCCCGTCCGCCCAGCATATCTCACCATCCCTCCCAGCCTGTCAAGCAGTGGCGAAGCGCCCTGGCTCGCCTATAGCCCTACCAAACCATGTTCTAAGAACCTTTTCTCTGTGGTTCCCACGAAATGTTCTTAAAGCATTTCCGGTTGGAGGCTGTCTTGTTTCAACACATCGGGCGAATGTTCCAAGAACCTTGTTGCTCTTGGAACATTTTTGGGTTCTAGGAAATTCTCGTGGTAGGACTACAGGAATGCCGGGACGGCCAGTCCCTGCGCAATGGGGGGAGGGCCAGTGGAGGCAGCCGCAGGTGGCCTTCGGGATAGCACCTCGTCGCGAATGGCTGCACGCAGCTCGGTGGGCTGTGCGCTCGGACCCCCCGGGGAGGGGTCCGGGAGCCCATGTCGAGCTGCCGTTGTCTCGACTCCTCGCCCTGCCACCCTGAGGCAGCTCGCGTCTAAGAGCTTAGGGAGTCCTCCAGACGACGCCGGGTCTTCTCAGGCTTCTCCTTCACCGGGGACGCTGACGAGCCTCGTCTGGCAGTCGACGCAGAGATATCCGAGAGGGCAGCCTGGACTTTCTGAGAAGCCATGCTGGAAATATGCTGGAAGTCGCCGTCTTCGAGGCGTATTGGGACCGTCTTGAAGGCCATATTGACAGTCTTGGCGGCATCTTAGCGACCATCTTGAGCCACCTTGGCCGATTCGGGACGATGCTTTGTGCACGTTGAGGTCTTGATGCGGCCCTGCAGGTTTCCGGCGGGTTTGGCCGAAGGACCGTTGGGAACCTTCAAAGGTAACAAATAATTGCCTATAACCTGGCACGCCGTGCACCCTTGTTGCAAGCCACAGGGGGCGGCCGATCGAAGACGCCTACGGCGAGTCACCGCCGCCCCCTGCCTTTGGGAGTTGCCGTTGTGGTCAAGCGCTGTGGCAAGAACTCTGTCAAGCTATCGGAACATGTGTTCCCCCAGCCGTTGTGGAAACCCTTCGGGGAACACTTGTGGGAGGATGCCGGGAAGATCAGGAGAAAGAGGAGGAGGAGGAAGAGGAGGAGGAGCAGGAGGAGGGGACATCTTGGAAGCCTCTCTGGAGGCACTCTTGGGGCCTCCTGGGAGCTTCCTGGGAGCCTCTTGGAGGCATCTTGGGGGCCTCCTTGGGCCTCTTGGGGGCCTTCGGGCGCTTCTCCGGGGCCTCTTTGGCTGTCTTAGGGTATTCCTGCACCGTCTGACGCCGTTGGAAGCCGTCTTGGGGGCCTCTTTGGGCCGACTCGGGGCCCTCTTGGGGTGCTCCAGGGTCGTTTTGGAGGCCATCTTGGGCATCTTGAAGGCCTCTTGAGCCGTCTTGGGGTCCTCTTGGGGCCATCTTGGGGCCGTCTTGGGGGCCTATTGGGCCGTTCTGGCGCCATCTTGGACGCCTCTTGGACGATCTTGAGGCGATCTTTGTGGGCTCCTGGGCCGTCTCGGGCCGTCAGAAGGCCGACAAGAAACACATGCCCAAACCCTTCAAACACGTATGGAAAATTAATGATGCTGGCCTCTTCGGGCCTTCCTGGAGAACCTCTTGGAGGCCTCTTGGGTCCTCTTGGGGGCCTCTTGGGCCAGTTGGAGGCTTCTTGGGCAAACTTGGAAGCATCCTGGACGCCTTGGAGGCCATCTTGGCCGTCTTGGCCGTCTTGGAGGCCATCTTGGGACATCTTGGAGCCATCTGGCGCGGGACAGACGTTTGCAACCATCTTTAGGAAAGCATTCGGGTGGCCGGGGCGCTTGGCCAAAGCCCCAGGGAGGGTTCTCAAAAAGCCAATAACTTCCTGAAGTCTGGCACGCCAGGCACCCCATGTGGCAAGCCAACAGGGGGCGGATCACCGCCGCCCCCTGCAGTCTATAATCGCCCATTTGGCCGAGCGTTGTGGCAAGAGCTCTGCCAAGCTATCGGACCATGTGTTCCCCCAACCATTGTGGAAACCTTTCGGGGAACACTTGGCAGAGGATGGCGGGGAAGATCAAGAGGAGGCGGAGGACGAGGAGGATGTGTAGGAGGATGAGGAGGGGGAGCAGGAGGAGGAGGAGGAGGAGGAGGAGGAGGAGGAGGAGGGGGCATCTTGGGAGCCTCTGGGGACACTCTTGAGGCCTCCTGGGAGCTTCCTGGGAAACCCTTGGAGGCGTCTTGGGGGCTTCATTGGGCCTCTTGGACCGTCCTGGGGCCATCTTGGAGGCTTCTTGGGCACGCTTGGGGCTATCTTGATGAGCTCTTGGGCCGTCCTAGGCCGTCGGAAGGCCGAAAAGGAGCAATCTCCCAAATCCTTAAAATCAACTAAGGAACTAACAATTATTTCGACCTCTTCGGGACGTCCCGGAGGAACTCTTCGAGGCCTGTTGGGCCGTCTTGGAGGCCTCTTGGAGATTTCTTGCGCCGTCTTTGGCCGTCTTAGGTGTTTCTTGTGTGAACTTGGAGGCATCTTAGACTCTCTTGGGCCGTCTTGGAGGCCATCTTGGACGAACTTGGAGGCCATCTTGAGCCATCCTGACCATCTTGGAGGCCATCTTGGAGCCGTCTACAGCCGAACAACCCTTTGCAACACCACTTGTTACGCATCTCTGGCGGGATGGGCCGAAACCCCAGGGGGAGTTCTTTTGGAAAAGAGCCACAACCAAAAGCGAAAGGGTATAGCACGCCGGTCACCCTTGTGATGAATCAACAGGGGGCGGCGGATCGAAGACGCCTACGGCGAATCACCGCCGCTCCCTGCCTTTTTGGAAGCGCCTTGAGCTTGGTCAAGCTATCGGGCCACGCGTTCCCCGAGTGGGTTTCGAAAGCTTTCGGGAACACGGAGTCGGGCGAGCTATCGGACCAGGTGATTTCCGAGCTTTCGGGTTTCTTGGAGAACGTCTTGGAGGGCTCTTGCGCTGTCTTGAAGGCCTCTTGCGGGCCTTTTGGGCTGTCTAAGGCCATCTTGATGCCACCTGGGGCCGTCTTGGAGGCGTCTTGGAGGCCATCTTGGCTGTCTTGGAGGCCATCTTCGGCGTCTTCGGGGCCATCTTGGGCCGTCTTGGGCTCTTCTTGGGGCCCTCTTGTGGACCTCTTGGGCTGTCATGGCGCCATCTTGGAGGCCTCTTGGGCGCTCTTGGGACGATGTTGGGGGCCTTTGGGCCGTCTTGGGCCGTCGGAGAGCTGATAAGAAGAAAATGCCAAAATCCGTCGAAAGCCTAAGGAAAATCAATGATGGTGCCCTTTCGGGCTTTCCTGGAAGACTGGGAGGCCTCTTGGGGGCCTCTGGCCAGTCGCAGGCCATCTTGGAGCCATCTTGTGCCGTCTTGGAGGCTTCTTGGACGAACTTGAGGGCATCTTGGACTCTCTCGGGCCGTCTTGGAAGCCATCCTGGACCATCTTTGCCGACTTGGACGCCATCTTGGAGGCCATCTCGGGCCAACGTGACCATCTTAGAGGCCATCTTGAGCCGTCTTGGGGAATGTTTGCGGTGTTTGAGGTGGTTGCGGGGTCTTTCCGAGACCCCGGCGGGATCGACCGAAGCCCCAGGGGGAGTTCTTTTGGAAAAGAACCAAAACCAAAATCGAAAGGATCTAGCACGCCGGGCACCCCTGTGGCAAGCCAACAGGGGGCGGCGGATCTAGTGGTTTTCGGCGGCCTATCCCGCTACCGTGCCTAGGCTAACTGGGGCTTGTGAGGGGCCTCTAGGGGGCCTTGCTGGCGATCTCGGGGGACGTCTTGGGGCAAAGGGCGCGAAGTGTCGATTCGTGTTCCCCCTCTGGGGCTTCTTTGGGGCCCCCCTTGGGGCCCTACTGAGCCGTCCTGGGGGCCTTTTGGGCCTTCTTGGGGCAATCTTGGGTCGCCTGGGGGCGCTCTTGGGGTCTCTTGGGCACTCTTGGGGCGACTTTGGGGGCCTCTTGGGTCACTTTGGAGTGTCGAGACCCAGAAGAGGCGAGAGCACTGACATCCTCCAAACACTTACAAACACTATTTTTGGAGCCCTCTTGGCGCGTTTTGGGGACCTCTTGGGCCGCCTGTGGGCCATCGCGTTTGTCTTGGAGCGAAATTTGGACGACTCGGGGCCATCTTGGACCGTTTTGGGGGCCTCGTGGGCCCAACTCTTGCACCATATTGGACCGTCTTGGGGGACATCTTGGTCCGTCATGGAGGCCTTCGGGCCTTTGGAAAAGTCATGCGAGGACCTGCAGCGCGCGGGGTCTCGAAAAATATTCGAAATGTCAGGCTCCGTGCCTTCAACATACGATTCCAATTTTGAGTACAGAGCGCATGGAACTCGAACAGAAATTTGTGAGCATTCCACTTCGTGCCTCGAGGCACGGTGGCGGATATCCCCGGGTCACGCCCCAGAATGTTTTGGTCGGGTTCGCCATACGTTTCACTGGACGTGACCTTTTTCAGTACGGGACCCCCAGACGTCCTGACCCTTTCCCCAGGGCTGGCTTCTCATTCCGCGTCATTTTTGGCGGCCCCTGGGGGCCCAGCGAGGGCCTTCTTCTGGAGTCCAGACACCTCGGCAGGCAGGTCAGCCTTGATGGCTTCGATGCGTTGGAGGTCTGCTGGGGGCCAGAACATGTCCACGATGCGAGGTTCGCTACCACCACCGCGCACAGTCCAGTGGGCATTCTCTTCGAGTAGATTCGCGAGCGTGAGTTGCCCAACCAAGATATACACACTACGTTTCAAATGAAGTCCCGTGTTCCTTCGGCCCATCCCTCCACCGTGCTTTGATTGTATGTAGGTCAGAGGGCTCTGGAGGTCCTCCCGGCTTGTCTCTGGGCCGTCTCCGGCCCGGAGAGAAGTCGTGCGGGCGGACGCCCAGGGGGCGCCCGGGGAGCCTCGGGAGTCTTGTTCTGCATGCGGGGTCCGGGTCCCTCGGAAAGATCTTCAGGAGATTCAGGACTGAAGCGCGTTGGATTGAGCAAGGACCTGAGAGTTTTCCAGCTCGTGCCTCGCAGGGACGGTGGCCGATATCTATCTGATCGACTATCTATATATAGATATGTAAATAAATACATCAACATACATATATATATATACATATTATTTATGGCACTTATACATAAATCGATATCTATACTCTTAAATCGTACTTATATATGTATAGATATATTGTATGGCCTTTGGCCCATCCCGCCGCCGTGCCTGGGTTGTGGGTCAGAGTTCTCGCGGATGCTTCTTCGGGTCTCTTCGGATCGCTCTCGGGGGCCTCTTGGGAGCAGTTTGAGTGCCTCTTGGGAGCCTCTTGGGGGCCTCTTGGGGCCTCTTGGGGTGGGGGCCTCTTGGGGGCCTCTTGGGGACTCCTGGGGCCCCTAGGAGCCGAGGGCTGGAAATGTCCGTTTGGGTTCCCCATCTGGACGCTCTTGGGCCGTGGGGGCCTCGTGAGGGCCTCTGGTGCCGTCTTGGGGCAATGTTTGGAGCATCGGGGGCCGTCGTGGAGCGTCGGGAAGCCGAAAAGGCGAGAACGCCAAACATCTGAGGACAATTATGTTCGCCTCTTGGAGCCCTCTCGGGAGCCCTCTCGGGAGGCCTCCGGGAGGCCTTTTGGATGCCTTTTCCTGCGTCTTGGAGGGTCTTTGGGCCGTCTCAGGGCCATCTTGGGCGTCTTGGATCAATCTTTCGGCGACTCTGGGCCCTCCTGGGCCTTCTTGGGGGCCTCTCTTAGCCCTCTGGTTCCATCTCGGGGCCCTCTTGGGCCCGAACAAGTCACGTGAGAAGGTGCGACACGTCCCCGACGAGACGCGCCACGCCCCTGTAGATTCGGCACACTGGGCTCCGGGTCCCTTGGGGGCTCCCCAGGAGTGAGGACTGAGGCTTTGAGGATTGGGCCCGCGACTTGAGGATGCGCCCACTCCGTGCCCAGCGGCACGGTAGAGGATATACATTTATTGATTGATTCATTTATTATGTGTATATATATATATATATATGTATATATGTGTGTATGTATATGTTGATGTTTTTTATACGTATGGCAATATGCATACATATATACATATATATATATATATATATATATATATATGTGTGTAGGTTTAAAAGTACACGAGTTTATATGTGTAGGTCTATATATATATGTGTCTGTGAGAGAGAGGCGTGAGAGAGGCTTCGACACGGCGGCGGCGGCGACGACGACGACCGCGCCAGAGGCCGCGCGGAAAAAATGCCCCGCGCCCCGAGGAGCAGTACATCGGCGACATCCGGCAGCGGGTGGACCTTTTCAAGGACCACTTGCAGCAGGAGGAGCGGCGCACGGGTCTCGAAGACGAGTACGCCATAAACACAAATTCTAGACGCTTCGTGTATCCTCACCAGCCCATCCAGAAACGATGTCCAGGCGTGTTGAGGTGATCAGGGAAGTGCGGAGAGGTGGACGGCCGAACCGTGCGAAGGAGGGAGGAGGAGAAGAAGGAGGCTGGATGGATGGATGATGGGGTGGGGAGAAGAACGATGAGTTTGGTGGTGTCGGATGATGGGGATCTGTATGCTGATGGTGATGATGCTGATGCTGATGCTGCTGATGATGATGATGAGGAGGAGGAGGAGGAGGAAGAGGAGGAGGAAGAGGAGGAGGAGGAGAAAGAGAAGGCGCAGGAGGAAGGAGGAGCAGGAGGAGGAGGGCGAGCAAAAGGGCCACAAGTCTCTTGGATGCCTCTCGGAGCCTCTTGGGATATCGCATGGGCGCTTCTTGGTGGCCTCTTGGATCGTCTTTGGGGTCTCTTGGCGGTCCTGGGGGGCTCTTGCGCGTCTTGGCTGCCTCTTGGAGCGTCTGCGGGGCATCTTGGGTGCCTCGGGGATCCGCTTGAAGCCTTTTGGTGGCCTCATTGGGGGCCTCTTGGAGGCCTCCTGGGCGCCTGGTGGGGCCTCCTGGACGCCTCTTGGGGCCCTCTTGGGGCGCTCTTGGGGGCCTTAGAGGCGCTCTTGGGGCCACCTTGGAGGAGGTCGATTGAAGAAGTGGGGAGCTTCAATTGGCCTCCCCCTTAGGAGCCCCAAAATGGAGACCAAACCTTCGTACAACCAATGATTGTGGCTTCCTCGCCGAGGCCGTTTTGGACGCTCCAGCGCGTCGCGGCCTCCCTGCCCAGGCCCAGGGGAGGGGTAGGGGGAGGGGTCAAGACTCCCCGCCCGAAAGCCGTCTCGCTCACCCCCACCCGCCCTCCCAACACACACGTAGCACCCGAGTCTGGCCCGAGCGAGCCTCAGCATAATCAGCAGTCGTCTTTGGATGGGCAGCTACTGGGGGCCAATCCGCCGCCGCCGCCGCCGCCTCCGCTGCCGCCGCAGCCGCCGCCGCCGCCGCCGCCGCTGCCCGCCGCCGCCGCCGCGCCGCCGCCGCGCCGCCGCCATCGCCGCCGCCGCCGCCATCGCCGCGCCGCGCCGCCATCGCCGCGCCGCCGCCGCCGCTGCCCGGCTGCCAAATCGCCGCCGCCGCTGCCGCTGCCGCCGCAGCCGTTGCCGCCGCAGCCGTTTGCCGCTGCCGCCGCCACCGCCGCCGTCGTTGCCGCAGCCCGCCGCCGCCGCGCCGCCGCCGCCGCCGCCGCCGCCGCCGCAGCCGCTGCCGCCTCCGCAGCCGCCGCCGCCGCCGCCACCGCCGCCGCCGCCGCAGCCGCTGCGAAGTGTACTCTGTATTGTTTTTGTCAGGGATGGTGGGGGGAGGCCTCATCGGGTTGGTTGCGCATGCTCCGGATTTTGAAACAGAGTGTGTTTGGTATGGGTTGTTTTACAGAGGATGGTGTGGGGAGGTGCCCTCATGGTTTGTGGTTTGCTACCAGTCGCCTGGGGGAGGGGGTGTTTATTAATAGTGAACAGTGATAAACACCTCCCCGAAGGGGAAGAAAGGGGGTTGGACGAAGAAGCTCCCAAAACCAGCTACGCCCGGAGGGCTGGTGGGACTTTTGGCGCTCCGCGTGGATTTCTCGGATCCGCGCTGGCGCCCCCCCCCGCGGCGCCTCCAGCGCCGCCCCTGGCGCGCCGCGTGCCAGGGAGGGGGGGTCGCGCAGATCCAAGAAATCCGCGCGAGGTTTGTGGCGCTTGTTCAGCTTTTCAAATACCAGTGCGGGGGGGCCCGCTCGCTCTCTTCAAGAGCCCCCCCCCCCCCCCCCCAGCGATGCTCTGAACGCTCGTGTTGGCGTTCACAACGTTTCCCAAACATCCCAAGCGTGCATTGGGAATGTTCGAGGTTTGGCAATGTTCGCAGCATTGGAGCAGGATCAGGAGGAAAAACAGCAGCAGCAGCAGCAGCAGCAGCAGCAGCAGCAGCAGCAGCAGCAGCAGCAGCAGCAGCAACAGCAGCAGCAGCAGTAGTAGTAGTAGTAGTAGTAGTAGTAGTAGTAGTAGTAGTAGTAGTAGTTAGTAGTA